AATGTCGCTCGCCTAACCACATAATAAATTATTTATTACTAAATGTCGCTCGGCTAACCACATAATAAATAAAATGTCTCTCGACTAATGACAATCATTTATTACTAAATATAAATATCGCTCGGCTGAAAAATATAGTTCGGCTATAAATAATTTTTTATTTATATATTATATTTACGATCATATTCTAAGTGAGCTTTCATTTTCTTAATATTAATTGAGAATTATTAATTTTTATATAAAATAAGTGTTTGGACAGGTATAAAAAATTTTCTATTAGATATTTTAGCTTCAATACTTTTATAAAATTTAATTTAATCATAATCCTTTTTTTATAAAAGTAAAAAAAATAATATTCTATCCGCTAGGCCTCAATATTATTTATTTTTACCAAAAATATAAAAATAATAAATGGGTTTAATATATTTTTTTAAAAATTCTAAATACTACCCCGTTAGCCTCCTAAATCAACACACCCACTGAGTAACATGGCCCAATCCACGTCATGTACGCAACCTTCTTCCACTGTACTAAAATTTACTCATTTTTTTACACTCATGATAGTAAAAAAATATTTCTCTATCCTCTAGATGAAATATTTTTTATCATTCAAATTTAGAAAACAAAAATTTTGGACTGGTCTATTTTAACTTTCTACCAAGATTCACTAAAATGTCTAACGGTGTTTTTTTATTGTATTCTTTTCTATATTTTATTATTATTAAAAAACATCCCTACTTCATAGTTTTATTCCATATATATTTATTTAAAAATACATATATATATTTAAACAATTTTTTTTAAATCACTATTTTATTCTTTAAATTTATTAAAAGTTAAACCAATAGCAATACTAAAACAGGAAATAGAAGATATTGTTTAAACACAGTATAGTATTTTGAACTAATACCAATATTTTGTTAATCTTGGGTTTTTAATGTTAGTTCCCAGCCCTATACTATAGTATAATCCATTTGCTTATATTTTAATTTCATAATTAAGCTTTTCAAAATATTATGAAAGAATACTTATTTTAATGGTAATTTTATAATATCCATGATTTAATATTCTATTATTAAAGTAATGTTTAAAATAATTATATATTAATTCACTTTTTAACTTCATATGCTTTTTTAATTTTGAACTGCTGGACATTGAGGTTGTAATATTTGTGTTGGGACATAATTTTAATTTATAAATTGAAATATGTTTCAACTTGGGGCCAGGGAAGGGTTAAATCATCTTCATCTGAAGAAGTAAGTACTATGGACATAATATTCTTAAAATAAATTATAAAATAGAATAGTAATATTATTAACATTTACTTTGAATTTTGATTCTGAAAATTAACTGAGAATTTAAAATAAAAATGAAGGAATGGTGTTGGATATGAATTAAATATTCAGCTTGAATTATTTATATTAAAATAGTACAATATGTTTTTCTTTTTATAATATTTTTTAAGAAAAAATTTAAAGTAACGTTTTGCACCGTTACTTACCTCTAGAAGAAGGTAACGAATGGCGTTCCTTTTCTTCAAAAAAGGTAATGACGTTACGTTTTTGCGTTACTTTACAGCACTAATATTTTATAATATGAAATTTATCCAATATTTTGAAATATAAAATTTATTCAATATTTTGTAATATAAAATTTTTAATATGTTTAACAATTATAATAAACCATGTTTTTTTATATTCTTTATTTTGATAATCTCTAAGATTTTCTATTTTGTCTTTAAAAATATAGCTTGTACATCTATTAATGTATAACCTTGAATTCACGTATACAAAAACCGGGTTTTTGATAAAAAAATCTGAACCCGAACCGAACCTGAACCCCATTTATAAAATTTTTAAAACCCCGAACTGAACCCAGGAATTTTTATGAACCCGGGTTCAAGCGGGTTCAGTGTATTGTTTAAAATCATATATTAAGATATTTGTACAATTGTAAATACAAATATTAATAATTTAATTGAGATATTATAATATTATCATAATACCTTTGAAGTGATAATAAATTTTAAACAACTAAATTCATTTACGCCATTTTTTAATTTTTTTTAAAATTTATTTTCAAAGATACCTATTGGAGTGTTAAATAAAATTAAAGCAATTAAATACATTCACGCCATTTATTTTTAATTTATAACTTAGTCTCAAAGATTACTATCATATTGATTTATTTTTTGTTCAGATTAATTTTTAATATATATTAATGAAGTGTATATTATAATTGAAATTAAATTTATATATCTGTTTTTTAATTCTATGAAATCATTGCTATTTAAAATTTATTCTCTTTAACTCTTTTATTACAAGGTTTAATAAAAGTTTCTCATTATTATATAGATTTAAGATAAAGTCATATTTGAGAAGCATTTTACTCTTGATACCATAGAAAATAAATCAGTATGCTCATATTGCAAATTAAAAATGTCTGGTAATCATTTGTCTAATTTAGAAAGACATCTGGAAAGAAATCACAATAAAGAATATCTAAATTATATGAATGAAAAATCAAAATATCAAGAAATGCTATCAACAAAAAAACCCAAAATTTATATAGAAACTAGATCATTTTCACATTTGAAATTCATTCTCTCACCACATATCGAGGATGAGTGAACAACTCCTGGAAGATATTATGCTAATCCGCCTAAATAAAATTTTTAAAATTGATATATGACTGTTTTGTATTTTTAAATGTATTTTGCCTATAAATAAAATAAAAAATTTATTTTTAAACCAAATTTATGCCTAGTTTTTTAATATCAATTCAAAAATTCTTAAACCCGAGCTGAACCCGGAACCAAACCCGGGTTCAAAAATATTTCCATAAACCAAACCCGAACCGAACCCACCTTTTATTTTTTACTTAAACCGAACCCGGGGCTAAAATTTTGCCGGGTTCGCATCCATGCTCACCGCGAAATCGTGCTGAGTCTGAATTCAGGACAAGATTTTTATGAAAAGAACTTACAAACCATATGAATATTATTTATCAATATGATACAATCAACATCCCTCCCTTAAAGTTAAGATTTTGAATTTTATAAACATATGATAAAAATAGATTACAATTTATTTTTTATAATCCATTTGCGTCAAAAAAATTCTAAAAACTTAAAAAATAACGATTATGACAATTGTCAATTATCTAGGGTACATCCTCATTGAAGTTTTATTTAAACATTATCAATACTTATTTTAACCTATTTTCGTCAAAAAAATTCAAAAAACTTTATAAAATAACGATTATGACAATTGTCACTTATCTAGGGTACATCCTCATTGAAGTTTTATTTAAACATGTTATCAATACTTATTTTAACCTATTTTCGTCAAAAAACTATAAAAATAACGATTATGACAATTGTCACTTTTCTATGGTACATCTTAATTGAAATTTTAATTTAACATGTTAAAAATATTTATTTTTGCCCATTAGCGTCAAAATAAATCTAAAATGTTTAAAAATACCGATTATGATAATTGTCATTTTTTCAAGGAACATCTTCATAGAATTTATATTTTTACCCTTTTGTGTCAAAAATTTCAAAAATGTTAAAAAATAACGAATATGACAATTGTCACATTAAAATATTATCCTTAAAAAGATCATATAAAATAACATAAAAATTTTTTAATAAATATTTTTATAAAATTATTTAGAAAAAACACCTTTTTTAATGTGTACAATAGATAATTTTACAAAAATTATATAAAAAAATTTACCTAAAATATTGTTTATCTATATAATAAAATTTACAAAAGAATTCCTCAAAAAAAGATTTATTTACAAAGTTGATTTTAAATTCTTATCAACTCAATATGATGAAATATTTTTTGCTTAATTTTAGGCGTGAAAATAAATCACTAATAAATTGTAACAAAAATATTACAATAGCAGCATATTATTTTTTATTAAAAAAACATCAAATAAATAAATTTATTTTCATTTCATTTTATAATATAATAATATAAATGAAAAATATTAAATCATATCATGTTTATTTGTTGATAATAATAAAATATTTACATTAAATATAAATAAAATAAATTATTTTACTAAAATAAATAAATAATAATCAATGCAGGCATATCTTACGGAACACTTACAGACGATTAGCCGATGCAGAATTTTTGACTAATTAAGTTTTAGCCGATTTTTCACCGAAAATCTCGGCTAAGCCATTTTGTAGTCGGCTAAAATTAGCCGATTACGCAACACTAATCAGGGGGTTAAAATATTGCAGCCCTATAAATGTCAAAGATGCAAGCACAAGTAGGTGAAAGAGGACATTCTCTCCATTGTCTTTTTAATGATGATTCCTTTTCACTTCCTTTTTTAATGTATATATATTTTTTTTAAATTTATAAAATTTTTCATATGTTTTTTAATACATAGTTTGCAAGTTATTTTTAATTACTTTATATAATGTAAAAATAAATCATTTTATAATTAAAAAAAACTATTTTTACAAACTGAACAATTATATATCTAACCATAAGCTAACCCAATATTCATTATGGTTCATATGCCAAATATGTGGAATGTCTAAATATGATTTCAATGTTAACATTCCTATAAACCATTATTTCAAAACTTCTATATATTTCTATTTCATTCTTAACTATTGTCTCATACCCATCATTCAGTTCTAACATTAGACACTCCCTCTCGGTTCGCTATTTCATATTTTTTTAAAAGCTTTTTATTTTTTTGTGATTCTACATATGCTGGCTCTCACTTATTAAATACTTTCTAAAAATGAAGCCAACTTTAACTTACCAGGTTTTCGGATATTTATCAAATCCTGTAAGAGATCTATCCTTAACTTTGCATAACCTTGATAAAGAAAATCTAGTTATTAAATTATTTATATGTTGTTTTAAAAAATGTTAAATTTTCTAATTTCATAAAAAAATCTTTATCTAGTCTAGTTATTTAAAATATTTATAATATATATTTTTAAATATAAACACTTTTTTTAGCTTAAAAATTGGTTTACTCTTTGGAGACTCAAATATGACGAAAAACGAAATTTGATAAAGCTATTGGTTGATAAATTTTATACATGCGGAAAATCGTAAATAATATAATGTTTTCATTTAAAAAAATTTTTAAAATTTGATTATTATTAGATGAAAAAAATAGATTTATTCTTATAAAAAATAATAGAAATCAAATTAATACAGTTAATGATTATATATCCTAATATTTTGTCTTTCAATCCATTTTCTTCAACATATTATTTTTAAATAAATCATATATAGTACTAATCTCTCAGTTATCATGAACATGATCTAAAATTATCTTTGTTTAAGGCTAGGCATCTAATCACCAAACCAACTATAAATACAAATTATTTTAAATATATTTTAATTCAAATTAAATATAATATTTAATAAAATATTAATTATTATTTTAGGAAAAAAAGTTAAGATTAAAAATTATTATTAATTTTAAGATAAGAAGAGATGAAAATTAAAAGTTTAAATTAAAAAATAATATTATTGATTACTTCCAAAATGAACTTTCTTAAGATTTTACCTATAGGCGTTCATTAATTATAATATCCCTTATTTTATTTGCTATTCTTATACCTTTTTTTTGCATATCATTTTTAATGAAGAATCATGGGCCTAAAGTTGTTAACAAATTTTCTTAAGCTGAGTTCCAGTAGCAAAGAAAAGGTTGAGATTGACAAAGAAGACCTTAAATCGTGCATTATACTACATATAAAGGAGCCCGAGAACTACCTTTTTGATCATTTATTGGCTCTCCCTAATATCAACACATTGCACAATGACTTGGTTGATAAAGTAAGGATCTATTTTATAAATATTAATTCATAAATGTAATCTCTATGGTTAAGGTCCCACCTAATAGAGATCTGAGAGATTGAATTTAGCAATGGTTAATAAAGCTGGGAATGAAATAAAGATTTAATTTTATTAAAAAAATAATGCCTAGCTTATTCATTTAGTCATCTTCTATCCCTATTATACAAAAAAAACCTTTATATTTTTTTTCAAAAAAGTTGTTCTTAAAGATATGCCGAAAATTGTTATTTAAAATGATGAGGCCTAAAAATTTTTAACCTTAACTTAATACAGTTCGATTCTTAAATTTATTAAAACAATTTTAAAATTTATGGAAGCTCTAAACATTTAAAATTTATTATAAATTAAATTCACTAAATGTGAATTTTATAAATGTATGTTAATAAGAACAAATATCATTTTTATATCGTATAGATTTACAAATTATTAACGTAATAATATAATGTTTATGTCCAGACCAAAATAGGGACAATCAAATGAAAACAAAATTTATCTATAAAATTTGGTTAAGCTAGCCTATTAAGTTTTATTTAATATTTTAAATATTTTTAGGTAAAGAGTGCACATTTTTTTAATTAACAGACTATTTAAACTATTCAGGGTTGCATTATTAATAATTTGATCTGTGGCAGCCAAAAATGGGAGTTTTTTGCACATACTTTAATAGGCAAAATTGCTCCACCTTAGGAATTTAAGAAATTTCACCACAAAAGTATAAAAAACATCCTTGGGTTAATTTATATAAATGCGTGCCAAGATAAATGTCCTGATTAAAGTGTATCTACTAGAGGTCTGCAATTGGGGAGGTTTTAGTCCACAAGCCCGCCCGGCCAATATTTTAAGAAAAACTTGACCTGCCCCATTTAAAATATTTTATCTGCCTGCCCATTACTTATAAAAGAATTTACATATAAAATTTAAAAAGTTTATTCCTTCAATTTTCTTAAAAATTTAATTTAAATAATGATTCAGTTTCAGTGTAACATTCCTACAAAAATGTTTTATAATTTAAGAAATTGCTATATTAAGCATAAAAAGATATTCAATTTAAATTATCGATAAGGAATTTATTTGACCTAATAAAATTTTTATGTAAAAAAAAAATGAATCGACATTTTCTGGATTATGGTTTTTTTATTCTAAAAACCTTTCAGCAATGCTAATTCATTGTTTAGATGAAGCACTGGCTACTGGAATTGCCAATATTTTTTTTAACTTATCTTGATTGCTTTGATAAATATTTTTCTTATCGTTCCCACTAGAGTAGGATCTTTGTTTGAAATATCCTACTCAAGTGAGATATTTTGAATAAAAAGTGAAACAAACCATTAATAATAAATAAAAAAAAGTAATTTAAATTAATTGTTTATAAATTGTAAACTTAAACTAAATTAAGTAGCCTAAATCCTCTCTAACAGCCACATCTTCCCATCTGTTTTTGTTTAATTATGACGTAGATGCTATCTATTTCAAACATTGCATTTATAATTAAATACCTTTAATTGAATTATTTTTGCTTTTTGGGAAACGAGTAAAATCAGATTTTCATACAAGTTGATGCTATATTCTTCCATGGAAATCAAATCCAAATATTTTGATATCCACATCCTCGATTATCATAATTTTTGTAATAAAAATGTTAAAATTTCATAGAGCATATATTTTTTAATTACTTAAATGATTATCAATAACAAATTAAGGTTTTAAATTTTTTAACCTGTTCGCCAAAATTTAAATATTTTTTTTAATCCGCTCGCCCACCTGTTCTTTAAAAAAATTTAAACCCTCTCGCCTACCCTACGATTTAGGCGGGCGGACTAAAAACCCACCCAATGCAGACTTCGATTCTTTACATCCAATAGTTTATTTACTTTTCGTGTATAATTTATTTTCTAGTTATTCAACATATTCTTGAAGCAAAAGCTGGCCGATTATGTCAAATTTTATGAGGAAAATAAATCATTCATAGAAGAAAATGGTATGCAATTTTTATAATTAATATTTAATTTGTAAAGATTATTAAGATATACATATTTTTTTGGGCATCACACATATAATTTTAAGATGATATAATTTTCATAATGATGCAAATTTTTAAAATCTAATAAGTAATTTTACTGGCCATTTTATTTGAATGAACTCATAATTAATTATATAACTTATAAGGCTGTTAAGATCTTTTAATTCTATATTAGATATTTATAAATTGAAAATGATATTATTCATGTTTTTTTAGAAATCAGTTAATTTAAAACATAAAGGTAATTTATAAATTGAAAATGATATTATTCATGTTTTTTTAGAAATCAGTTAATTTAAAACATAAAGGTAACTTATAAAAAAAAGATGACGATTATAAAAATATGCCCATATTAAGAAAATTAATGAAAACAATTTAAAAAATTTAAATTATTTAAAGTTGAAGAGTATGATTTCAAAACTAATTTTTTATTTGATCAAAAAGTCTCTCAAAGTTGTTGTTTTAGGACTCTTTTCTGAATAAAATAGAAATCCAATACATATTTCCCAACCTCATAGGATTTTCCATCCTATGTTTATCATTCTTTTCAAAAGTCTCTCAAAGTTGTTGTTTTAGGACTCTTTTCTGAATAAACAGTTTGCTTATACATTGGACATAAATATATTGTTTTTTGCTAGATGCGAATATTTATGAGATTTTCTTTTCTTAAATATTCCTGAATCATGATTATTATTGGAGGGGGCAAAAATGTATGCTTGTAAAATCCCAGAACCTGTGTTTTCCCATATTCCATAAAGCATTCCCATCAGTTGGCAAATTATTTATAACTGAAGTATCTCGAGGTTCCAGATGTGAAGGAACATCGACTTTGTATAATAAATTTTGGATGCTTTGATTATTTATTTCGTGCCTCTTGATAGTTGTGTAGTAAAATAATGTCTTAGACTGATAGCAATAGCATATACCTAAAACGAATTATCTGTTATTCGATATTAGATTCGTATTTTACGAATACGAATAACAGAATTATTTGAATCGAATATGAATATGAATAATGAGAAAAAGTATACCTCGAATATTTAATTTTTTATTCGTATTATTCGAAATTATTTATAATGGAATTCTTTGAACGTAAAGACATCAACTTTAAAAAATTTAAGAAAATATATAATTAATACAAAGTTGGATAAAATTTTCAAATAAAATATCATCTCATTAATATGTGAGGTTGAAACATATCTTAATGAATTAAGAATAGTTTCTATTAATAGTCCATTAGAAAGGCGGAGACTGCATGGGGATCATTTTTTTATGTTGTCGAAAATGGCAACTGATATATTATCCATTCAGGGATCTTTGGCTTCATGTGGGAGGTGGACAAATATGATAATAAAGAATAAAATGTATTTGAATGAAGAAACCATTAGAAAGACTTTATACTTGAAAAACTGGTTGTCGAATTCGGATCTATTTTGATGTTTATAAAATAAGATCTAATGTATATTTAGTTCATATTATAGTATTTTCGACAGATATTTTTAGATTATCGTTAACATATAAGTAGTAATTTAGCCAAATATTTAAATTTTTTATTGTATTTTTTTCATAAAATCCCCATTTTTTGTATATGCAAATTCACAATATAATAAAATAAACTTTTTACAAAAATAATAAAATAAATAATTTAATATATAACATGATAATCATGCAAATTTTAGAATATTAGATAGAAGAAATAACGTATAGAAAATAATTTAATATATAACATGATAATCATGCAAATTTTAGAATATTAGATAGAAGAAATAACGTATAGAAAATAATTTATTATTTTTAAGCAATTCTAATTCTTAAAATCGGGTGTTTTGGCAAATTATTTGGATAACATTATGAAATCATTGGGTTTTATTTCGTTTGTTATTTTCTATAAATTTTGATATGCTAATGGCAATTAGTTTTAGAATCCTTAAAAGTGTCATTTTAAAACACCTCATCTGTTTTTTTTTGCAAATAATCTATTTATAAGCTTTAGAAAATTTTGGAATCAAATTGAATCGAATAATGACTTTAATATTCGTAGTGTTGATATTTGCTAGGAATGTTTATTACCTTCATGTTTAACTGTTTAATCGAAAAAATCGATGGTCATTTTTGTTTTTTAGTTTTATCTAAATTTTTATAAATTAAATATAGATAAAGTTATATTTTAAAAACATTATAAAATAATATATTTATTAGAAATATGTATTATATTGGTATTAAAATAAAGAAAAATCCGTTGAGTATAACTAATATGATATCCTAGGAAGGCGATATCTAAGCAGGCAGTCCATACTTACTATTAAAGAGGATAAATGCAACTTTTGATACGGGAAACATTTTCACAGCTATAAGCACTTCTGTAAATTGAAACATTAAAATATTGGCCAAATAAAAAAACTTATTTTGATCATAAATCAATAACTCTTTGGTCACACTAATAATGGCGCCAACTTATTATGGTCCTTATTCAATCTTCAATGTTCTAAGATATTCAAAGGAAAATAAAAATTCGTCAACCAAATCCTATAAAAGCTTATTATATGTATATATGGGTGAGGTTTGCTTCAATATTTTTAATCAATCTTAGGTTATGATATACTCTTACGAATTTTCTGGTTGACGAGATCTTCATTTATGCGATAATTGAATATCTAATTATAGAATTGATATATGTAAAAAAATGGCAATGACCTTTTTTATAAACTTCATCTACGTTGCTTTAGTTGGTGCATGGAGGTTTTGAGAATTTGTCACTCCAAATAAGAAAAAAACATAGTTAGAATTTCACAAAAATACGAAATATTTGATTCATACACCATAGATTACAAACCTAATATTAACTAAACATTTATTTCCACTTAAGACTAAATTTAGAAATAAATCTGACAATTTAAACATTCTACATTATCCAATTTATAACATAGCATTGAATGCGGCCATAGAATTTTTTTTATCATTCAAGAGGAACTATATAAAATGTGAGCTTTAGCAGTCATAGATATTTTTCCGGTAATTGAGAAATTATCTGATTATTTCATTACTACTCGGATTAACATGTTACACAAAACTAATTTACTATAACATAATATTAGTGCTGTAAAGTTACGCCGATGAAAGTAACGGCGTTATTCTTTAAGGAAAGGCACCATTCGCCTCTTGTTTCAAAAGATAGTGAGTAACGCGTTTATTTTTTTGAGTAACGGTAACACAAAATGTTACCCGTTACTTTAAATTTTTTCTTGAAATATATGGAAAATATATTTTTTAATTTATGATATATTTTTTTTATAAAAATTTAAGCCGAGAATTTAATACAGATTAATCTAATCCCAAAGTTCTTCATATTTATTACAATTTTTTTGTTGAATTTTATAAAGTCAAGATTATTAATTTAATTAATATTGAATTAATAAAAGTATATTAATTTATATTCTATAATATTATAATTTATTATAAAGAATATATGTCACTAGTATTTATTTCTTCACATGAAGATGATTCTGCCCTGGTCCCAGTATGAAACTTTTTTTTACACCAATAAAGAAATTTAAGAGCATTAGGTTTACACTTTGTAAGTGATTATGCCTCATATCAAAGACAAATACAAACAAAAATGAGACTTGGTTTTTTTAAAATAAAGCACGTACCAAATTAACTTCTGATAAAGATAAAAAAAAATCATCAAGGATCAGAGTGAAAATACTTGTGATGATTATCTAATAATTATTTTCGAAAATAAAGTTCGTTCTTTAAATATTTTTAATAAAATATTTTAATTAACACTTTTATTTATTAAATATAATACACGCATACTCTACGCCATGAACGTGTTTTTAGCACAGCTTAGCTAAATCTGTGTTAGCACTAAACGCTTGTTTATCTGATCAAAATTTTAAAAATTATTTAAAAAATCTTATCTTATAATATATCATTTTTTGTATAATTTTATTTTTATTATCTCTGGGAAAAAAATAAATAATAGAAACTATATATAATATTTGGTACTTTTAAATAACGAATTACGCGTTACTTTTTTCACAAAATAACGGTAATGTGTTCCCTTTTTCAAGTGTAATGAGTAGCGCGTTTATTTTTTGAAATAACCTTTACAGCATTATAAAACAGAGACCTGCATGCAAGCCCTCCCAGGTTGGCGAAATTTTTTTTTAAAATATCCGGGCCAGGTTCTAAATTTTTTAAAGAAAAATACCTGGGCAAGGTCATATATTTTAAAATTGAATATTTTTAATCGCAATTATTAGCTATGAAAATTAAAAATAAATGTAATAAATTTTTTAAAAATCCAAGACTGGCCAACAAAAAATCCAGACTTGGTCGGGCCTGTTTATATAAAATCCGCCCTAGGCTGAAAATTATTAATAAAAATTCGGGTTGGGTCATGCAAATAATGATACCTCTGAAAGTCTCTTCTATAAAATATATGAAAATTAAAACTTATCTGATGGTCATATTTTATAAATTTATAAAAAAAAATTAATGCTAATTTTTATAAATGAAGGTTTAAATCACGAAGAGAACTTGTACAAAATGAGAATTTTGACCTTCTTACAACTTGCATCTGAAGCTGGACGCCAAAATATTCCCTTCGAAAAAATTAATTTAGAATTGGATATAGATGCTACATTAACGGAAGATCTCATTATAGATGGTTTATTTATTTGATGTAGTTATTTTGACTATATTTGTTATTTACAATGACAATTTTTATATCTATATTATGTGATGCTACATATTTTTATATCTCTAATTCCTTGTTTTTTTTTATTCTACTTATACTATTATCATTATATAAAATATAATCTTTTAATATTTTTTGGTAATTTTTCATTTTCACTGCTTGCATATCCAGGATTTTTGTAAAGAACAGGATTTTCAGTGATTTTTTAAGTATTTTTAGGCCCCTCTTTTGAAGGACTTTGCATCGGTTACATTTTTAAAAATACAACCTTAGTTTTTCATTTTTTGAAAAAATATAATAATACTAAAGTAAAGTCAATATTTTTAAAAAATTATTAATTTATACTGATTTTTAATATCCTGCAGGCCTGGGTTACCGTGCTATATTTTAATTGTTTTATATACACCAGGGCTGGGTTTAAAATTTTTTTACAAAAAATACCCTAGCTGTGCTCAATATTTTAGAACCAAAATACTTTAAATCGCCATTGGCTTTAAAAATTAAGAATAAATGTAATATATTTAAAAAAATCTGGATCGGCCTTGCAAATGGTACCTTTGCAAGGTCTCTGTTAAATATAAAATTAGTTTATAATGACATATTTTATTCGTTTGGGAGTAGGGTGAGTTTTGGGGGCAAATTTTATATTAGTAATTTAACAAAACGAAGAGAGGATTTTCTATTAAATTAAATTTTTAAAAAGATTAACTCTTATTTTTTAATTAAAAAATTAACTATAAATAATTTTAAGGGTTTTAAAAATTTCGTTAAAAAAAATGATATATATATATTAATGCATGTTTTTGTTCTATTTTCCCTTTTTCCACTTGAAGAAAAAATATTGTTGTTTTTTTAATAATTAGCTATAAGAACCAAATTAGTCAGATGCAGTATCGATGAGTCTACCCAATGTGTCATTGTGGATTTTTGTACAGACAGAATTATAACTAGCAATCAATGGAGCCAAATTTCCGCCAAGCTCAAGGAATGGTCAGAATCGCTTACCATCGTCACCAAGAATATCAAAGATTTGAAAGATACTTTCGAACCATCCTCTTTCCTCCTATCAAATGGCGAAGATAGTACTGCTAATTTAACTACTCAAGGAGAAGGGTAACTTTTTTAAGAAATATTCTAATTTTGAACGGGCACATCTCGATTATTGAGCAACAAGTTGATGAAAGTATTTTCTTTAAATATCAAATTTAATTTTAATATCCTGTCACATTGATATTAGCTATGAATTTTCAAGCCCAATTTGGGAATTATTGTGACCAAATTTGCCTAGCTAAGATGTATTACTAAAATTAGTAGCCAATTTCCTTCATAAATTCGACGAGAAAATCCATGCTAATTTCAGTGAGCTTGGACATGGTGTAATGGAAAGTATCTGGTGTTAAATCGAAATTATAAATTAACATCTATAATTGTGTAATATTACATTACTCTGCCATTAACGATAATCTTAAATGATTTTGATTTTTTTTAGCAGTTGTATTAAAACAATCGGTTGACAATATTTCATTTTTTAAAGCCTAACAATAGAAATCTAATGATATTATAACTTATTTATTTCAAGGGTTTATGATGAATAATAACCATGAGTGCATTATATTTTCACAGAAATCCTTTAGAAGCAGATAATAAGGATTACTACAATCAACAACTCATGTTACCACCACCTTATCACCACCATTATGAGCAAGCCCACGAGTATTACAACACTCAACCAACACCCCCTCCCCATATTCCTCCTGAAAGCTACTTGAGTACGAGGCCTCCTCCAAATCACACGTTACCATTATATAATCCAAGGAACGTGGATCCCATGAACCCTAGCGAAAATTATTATTCTTATAGGATGAATGAGAATACCAGTTTTAACAGAAATCCTATAGAGTCTTCAGATGGTTATAAGATGAATAGGATGTATCAAGGCGAAAGTATCCCGCCACATCAACAACAGCATTACGAAGAAGGGCCACTGTATCATTCTAGGCCTCATCCCCAGCAGCAAATGGCTTACGAATATAAGTTAATCTCTAATAAAATTGTCAATAGGTTTTCATTAAAAGGATTAGGGAAATTAATGTTTATCTCTTGTTCTTTTATTTCATTCTAGCTATTTTTCATAATATATTTATATAATTGAAAAATTTTTAGATATCAGAATAGACCTCCACCCCCGTCATCCCAATACTATCCCCAAGAACCGTCTTATGTTAACAACCATTACCATTATCTACCAGACGAGATGGAAGGCTACAGATCAGGCGTCCCATACCAACCACCTCTACCGAATAGTTCCCATTATTATGGAGATGCTAATCTCCCACCTCGTTATCAAAGGGGAGGGGAATACGAGCAATAAATGAATGCTCAAATTTTTTTATAATTGATTACAGAAAAAAAATTTTTTTGAAATATTTTATTGGACAAAAATATTTTCTTTTCGTTATAATATTTATAATTTATGGTGATGATTTATAACTACATTTTCTATTTTAAAATGTTTCAATATTATATTAACCAATCAATCTTCTTAAATTTTAAGAATATTATAAAATTTTTCTAAACAAGTATTATATTTATTTTGGCTTTTGTAAAACATTATTTATGTACATATTGAGATTTAATGTTGTCTGGGAAAATTTTATATTCCGCTTTTCACCAGGAACTTGAACCTATGTGATCTTAGGCTTTGGTTCTGAATTTTATTTATGAAATTTATTGAGGCTCCTATTCCAGCAGAGATTCTGAAAAAGTTTTAGATTTATCATAATCTATTTTAAATTAAAAATGTAATCAGCACATGATTTTTTAAAAATATCCAATATCGGTCCTTTGAAACCTTAGCATCTGCTTTGAAATTTGGGGTTGGTAAAATTTGTGATTTTTTTGATTTAAATCAAATATTAATATTTAATTAGAAAAGTTACAGCAAACTATTTTGAAAAAATAACTAATCGATATCAGTGAATCGGAAAGAGGATCATTCATTTTCTAAAACGAATACTATTATGAATATCCTCAAATAAAACTGTTAACCCAATTTTAAAATTTTTATTTTTTTGATTAATGAAATGTATTATTTTTAATTTTAGCTTCTGTTATTTATCAATTGATGTTCTTGTGCCAAATTTAAGATTACCCTTAATTTAAAATAATCTTGATTTTTAGTTTTGTGGTAATTGTTTAGTATGCCCCAAAAATTTTAAAACTCCTTCCTTTTTCTGATAAAAGCTAATATTCAATTAAATCGTAAAACGATTTAAATCATTGATTCATACTTTGACTTAGTAGTATCTATCTATAATCTAGTTTACGAATTTGAAGTGATAGAACGGTAAATATTATTTTATTTTAATCATATTTATTTACAGATTCTATGAACATTATATCTCAATATTGATAGTAATTATAACTTACACTAAAGAAATTAAGCTTAAAATCAGCCATCACCCACCTTTAAAGTAATTAAATTATACTGTAGTTTTTGGGTATAGGCTTTTTCTTTATCCCACTCCTTTTAAATTAAAGCCTATAGAGGTTTAAGCAACATTTTTCGAAATGTTGTGCCTACAAGTACGTGCGGCTTGCCCACAAACGTGTGGAGGGCTCCTCATATTTTTACTTTTATACCAAAATTAAATTGTTCCAATTAGATGGAAATGAGGAAAACCTAGCGTAGCTCTGTTGAATCTTCAACGTTAGAGGGCAAAAGCGCTATATATCACGTATCACGTAAAAGCTGTGTCACAACCTAAATCACATTTAACCTATAGTATTCTAAAAATTATTCATACAATAAAAATTTTCATGCAAATGTTAAGCCAATAGTAATTATCATGTGTTGCTAGATTATATATTATTATTTTTAATACTAACTGATGGATAAATAATAAATTTTACCTTCATTTGACGATGATTATTCAGAATAGTCAATCCGTATTCATTCTTCAAGATTTCTATAATTTTTTAGAGAAAAGGCCAAATATATTATGGAATAAAAAAAAATGATTTGTGAGTTTTGATATTTATCTTTCAACAAATTTTCCACATCCAGATGCAATCCTCACTTTATAAAATTTACATTACATCTCAAAGAATCATTTAAATACTCTTAAAAAAAGGCCTGCCATCATAAATTCGAATCAATTATGGTGGCAAACCTTATTATCTCACAAATACTGGTGGTATCCACCCCATTGCAATAGGCTATTTAGAAGATAAAAAATAATTGGTGGGTCATAACCCAGTGTCTTAACATATTAAGTAAATGTAATTAGGATTTGGTGTTAAGGGAGAAAGCAAAATAGCTTCACATGCCATTTGTATTATATCCAAAATCCCCCTAACATGGCTATTATCAAGTAGACTTCAATAGTAAATTTCATGAACATTTAATAAATTATTTTTAACCCAAACTTCCTGTTTAATTATAATTCCTAGACATACTGTAGCATTAAAACTCCTTTATTTAGCCCACATTTCATAGATTCTGACGAACGGATCCAGCGGGGGGTGGCGCACGTCCTCGTTTATTTTAACTTGGTATCCATTATCTTAAATTTGATTTTGATTGTTATCTTTGTTGTTACTGACGTGAAGATTGGGAGTTAAGTCAATCAATCAATAATGTTTTCTTATATGTATCGCGGAACTATTATATATATTCAAAAAAAATCAGTTTGGGTCCACCCAATGACATAAATAATACCTAGACTGACGATTCATTCATTAAAAATGTACATCAATGCAAATCAGCTGGGGACACCATTTGCTTACAGTAATCATTAAAATTTTAAACGAGAGCCTAATTTATTCCTATATCTGATGCAAACTTTATTAAAGAATTACCTGATCATCGAGGTAATAGAAGCAAGTTATCAATTTAATAGTAGTTTTTAACATGAGAATAATTATCATATGGGTTACTAAAATGGCGGGTACAGCTGATTTGCATTCAACGACGCTGATGCATTTTAATGAATGAATCGTCAGTCTAGGTCACATTTGATACTATAATATAAATACACAAGCATTAATTCAGTAATTAAGGAAATAATTTAAGATTAAATATTAATCAAAATTATTTATTTTGGTTTGCAAGTTTCTAAATGTTTTATGGCAGTAACAGTAAGTGTTGATATGACCGATTAATACTAACCTTTAAATTGATTTTTTTTTATGTTTATATAATTGATTTTTTTTTATATAAATTGTGTAGATTGATTTTTTTATATATTAATATGAAAATTGTTATATAAGCCTGATTTTTTAGTTTGATGTAAAATTTCAAAATAAATTAAATAAAATTAGATTTGTAACTTTGATTTATTTTAAATTGAATAAAATAAACTCGTAACATTTCATCTATTTTTAGAAAACTTTATGGTGACAGTTCCGCTACATATTCGAGGAAATCGTAAATAAATATTAAACAGGTTCCCAATAATAATGTTAATATAAATATTGAATTTCCAATATACTCAGGCAATAGCGATCTTTTGTTGAGTAGATTTGAAGACATCTTCAAGGACACTCAGATCTCGGACATAGAAAAAAGCAGGTTCCTTTACAAGAAGACTACATGAGGTATATATCAAATTAGACGAACTAAATAAAATTGGGCTATAATGACTTACAAAATATTCTAAATCCACAGACAATAAGATTTTAGCTACTGGAACATAGACAACTAGATAAAAAAGTTCTGGAATGTTATATTTATATCATTCTAAAAACACGTAAGAAATGATTAATTTGAAAAAGTAAAGAATAATTAAAAAATTTTAATCATAACTCTTTAAATTATGAATAAACCTATATGGGACAATAATAATTATAAAACAAAGTCCATTGACAAATTAGAAGATTATTTAAAATTTCATGATAGTAAGAATACTCTAAGCTTAATAGGTAATTTACCAGATAAATTATATTTAGTCATGTAAGCAGTGTTTCCAAGAGAGTTAAATTTAAGTTATGATGAAGCATTGTGTACATTAAAATGTTTATGTCCTACAGAAATAAAAGAAAATCGTTCTATTAAAAATAAATCTCTTAGTAACAAAAAATTGAAAAAACCAAATATTCAAAATGAAAGAGATTCTTATAAACTAAAAGAGATAAATTATATAATAAAATTTGAAATATTAGTGATTATAGAAAAAAAAGGAAATAAACATTAAAGAAAACAATGAAACAAAGATTAAAGAAAATAATAAAATTAAAAAAACTCTTACTAAATGCGATAAAAAAAATTTGAGACTTATAAATTTGAAGACAATTAAAAGTATCACTAAGAGAAGTCATATAAAAACTAAACATCTTCATTCTAAAATAATACTCAAGGATGTTATGAAGAGATCTTTTTCTAAAAATTTAAGGCTCAAAAAATTATTTTTTACTAAAAACAATCTTATGAATTATTATTATTTCAAAATACTTTTTAAGTTAAAAAATAAGGGCATAAAGTTTAAATTTCTGAAGAGAGAGATGGATGTACAGACGTGGATGTACAGACGTACATATCATCTTATCATCTTTTATTAAAAAAAAATATATAAGAAATAAAAAAACGCTAAAAATATTATCAAACAACCTTGTTGATTTATCATCCTTTTATTATTCTAACATCCAAATTTGATCGATTCTCTAATTATTCATATATTCCGAAATCCTATTTAATAATGATAATTTTACAATTGATGATAATAACAATTTTGTAAAATTGACAATGATAATGACTGAGCTTGATGACGAGCCAGCGTACTCAGAACGATATTAACAAATCAACGTGATAGAATCAAGCCAACGACTACAATGACTTATGACCGACTTGAACAATCATATGAACAACCAAAATAAATATCATTTTCCAAGACTATGAAAGACTGCACGATAAGATTCAATGCAATAAAAACCTGAGTGGAGATCATTTTTTTAAAGGGTGGAATGTTGATATGACCGATTAATACTAACCTTTAAATTGATTTTTTTTAAATGTTTATATAAATTGATTTTTTTTTATATAAATTGTGTAGATTGATTTTTTTATATATTAATATGAAAATTGTTATATAAGCCTGATTTTTTAGTTTGATAATAGATGTAAAATTTCAAAATAAATAAAATAAAATTTGTAACTTTGATTTATTCTAAATTAAATAAAATAAACTCATAACATTTTAAATGTTTTTAGAAAACTTGTTTAGCTCTTCCTCCACATTTTCTTCTACAGGTGAAATAGATTGCTTTCTTTCTAGATTTATGGAACACATAATCATATCCTTTAAAAAATATACAATCTTTGTTTTGTTTAGTTTTCTTAAAAATATAAATTATTATATGTAAATTAAATAATATATACTTTAATTTCTAAATTTATAAGCTTTGATATTTGTTGTGATTTCTCTCTAACCTTGTTACTTCAATTTACTAACAATATCTTTGGGAATCTATTAAATTAACTAACAATATCTTTGATTGGCAATTTTTTTGGCTTTAGCAATAGTTACTTCAATTAACTAGCAATATCTTTGGGAATCTATGGGCAATTTTTTTGGATTTAGCAATAGTTACTTCAATTAACTAATATCTTTGGGAATCTATTAAA